ATTTTTAAATATATTTTATTGATTATGCTATTACAGTTGTCCCATTTTCCCCCCTCCACTCCCCTTCACGCTGTACACCCTCTCCCACCCATATCCCCTCCTTTAGTCATGTCCATGTGCCATCCTTATAAGTTCTTTAGCTTCTACATTTCCCATACTATTCTTACCCTCCCCCTATCTATTTTCAACCTACATTCTGTGCTACTTATTCTCTGTACCTTTTCCCCCTCTCTCCTCCTCCCACTCCCCTGTTGCTAACCCTCCACGTGATCTCCATTTCTGTGGTTCTGTTCCTGTTCTAGTTGTTTGCTTAGTTTCTTTTGGTTTTGCTTTAGGTGTGGTTGTTAATAATTGTGAGTTTGCTGTCCTTTTACTATACATTTTTTTTCTTTATCTTCTTTTTCTTAGATAAGTCCCTTTAACATTTCATAAAATAAGAGCTTGGTGATGATGAACTCCTTTAACTTGACCTTATCTGAGAAGCACTTTATCTGCCCTTCCATTCTAAATGAAAGCTTGGCTGGATAGAGTAATCTAGGATATAGGTCCTTGTCTTTCATGACTTGGAATACTTCTTTCCAGCCCCTTCTTGCCTGTAAGGTCTCTTTTGAGAAATCAGCTGACAGTCTGATGGGAACTCCTTTGTAGGTTACTGTCCCCTTATCTCTTGCTGCTTCTAGGATTCCCTCCTTCATTTTTATCTTGGCTAATGTAATTATGATGTGCCTTGGTGTGTTTCTTCTTGGGTCCAACTTCTTTGGGGCTCTTTGAGCTTCCTGGATTTCCTGGAAGTCTATTTCCTTTGTCAGAATGGGGAAGTTCTCCTTTATTATTTGTTCAAATATGTGTTCAATCCGTTGCTTTTCCTCTTCCCCTTCTAGTACCCCTATAATTCGGTTGTTGGAACGTTTAAAGATGTCCTGGAGGTTCCTAAGCTTCTCCTCATTTTTTTTGATTTCTTATTTCTTCATTCTTTCCTGCTTGGTTGTTTTATTCTTCCTTCTGGTCCACTCTATTGTTTTGAGTCCCAGTTTCCTTCCCATCACTATTGGTTCTCTGTGCATCTTCCTTCATCTCTTTTATGGTAACCTGCATTTTTTCATCTAATTTGTGCCTCAAATCAACCAATTCTGTAAGCTTCCTGATCACCAGTGTTTTGAACTGTGCATCTGATAGATTGGCTATCTCTTAGTCACTCAAAAGGATGAGTCCTGGGGCATTGATCTGTTCTTCTGTTTGAGACATGTCTCTCTCTCTCTCTCTTTTTTTTTTTTTTTTTTGTCCAGTCGCTCCTGTTATGGTGAGGGGCGGAGCCTTAGGTGTTCACCAGGGCTGGGCACCCCAGTCGCTAGATTGTGACATTGTATGTGGGGGCGGGGGTGGGAGGGAACAATGGCGGTAGCTCCGTTCTCCTGGGACCTCAGTCCCTTCTCTGGGATCCTGGGTTGTGCGCTCTGCCCTGGTCCACAATTGCTGCCTCACTGGGTCCGCCAGCTGCTGCTTGCGTACTCAGGGTCCACCCACTGCGATCTTGTGCGCCCCAGATGCCTTACGCGCTCCCGGTTGCCTTATGCGCCTAACTCTCCCTGTTCTCGGCGCCGCAACCTCGTTCCCGGCTGCTCCTCTCCAGCCCCTCCTACCGGTCTGGATGAACGGGTCTACTTCAACTTCTTGACTGTCTGACTTCCAATCAGGTAAATTCTCTGTCAGTTCTGGGTGTTATTCTGCCTCTAAATTGTTATTGTTCTAATCTTGGTTGTGCGTGGAGGTACGGTGTATCCACCTATGCCTCCATCTTGCCGGAAGTCTGCTCTCAAATTTAAAATTTTTATTGTGTTTTTCTTTATATCTTCTATGTCTTTACTGAGGCTTGTTTTCTTTTTCTTTTTCTTTTTTTTTAGATTTTATTTATTTATTTTTAGAGAGAGGGCAAGGCAGGGAGAAAGAGAGGGAGAGAAACATCAATGTGTGGTTGCCTTTCATGCGCCCCCTACTGGGGACCTGGCCCACAACCCAGGCATGTGCCCTGACTAGGTATTGAACCAATGACCCTTTGGTTCACAGGCCAGTGCTCAATCCACTGAGCCACACCAGCCAGGGCCTTTTATTAAACTTTTGATATATAGTAACTTAGGTAATTGATTTTTAAAAGGCTTTCTCTCTTTTTTTAAAATGAGATGAGGTTTTTATGTTTTTACTTTTTAAGTTTTTAGCTTTATTTTTATTGTTGACACTATTACAGATGCTCCCCATTTTCCCCCTGTTGGCCCACCTCTGCCAAGCCCCTGTCCTCCCTTCCCTCTGGCCATCACCACACTGCTGTCTATGTCTATGGGGTATACCTGTGTGTTCTTTGGCTAATCCCTTCACCTTCTTTCATCCAATCTCCCACACTCCCTCCCTGTGGCATCTGTCAGTCTTTTAAATGTATCTATACCTCTGGTTCTATTTTGTCCATCAGTGTATTTGCTTCATTAGAGTCCACAGATGAGTGACATCATATGGTATTTGTCTTTCTCTGTCTTTATTTTGCTTAGCATAATAATCTCCAGGTCCATCCATGCTGTTGCAGAAGTTTTAAGAGTCCTTTCTTTTTTACAGCCATGTAGTATTCCTTTGGATGAATGTACCACATTGTTTAATCTACTCTTCTACTGATGGGCACTTGGACTGTTTCCATGTGTTTTTTCAAAATTTTTTATTAATTTGAGAGAGAGGAAGGGTGGGAGAGAGAGAGAGATTGATTTGTTTTACTTATGCATTGGTTGATCCTTGCATGTGCCTTGATCAGGGATTGAACCGACAACCTTCACATATCAGGATAATGCTTTACCCAAGTGAGCTCCCCAGCCAGGGCCTGTTTGCAGGTCTGAGGTGACAACATGTGTGCCAATGATACATCTGATAAGGGGTTAATTTCCAAAGTACATAAAGAATTTACACAACCCAACACCAGGAATACAAACATTCCAAGTAAAAAATGGGCAAATGACCCAAGAGAACATATAGATGGCCAATAGACATATGAAAAAATATTCACCTCACTAATAACCAGAGATGCAAATGAAATATCACCTCACACCTTTCAGAAAGGCTACCACCAATAAATCAACAAACAATAAGGGCTTGTGACGACATGGAGAAAAGGGAACACTAGTGCACTGTTCGAGGGGAATGCAGACTGGTGCAGCCACTATGGAAAACAGTATGGAGTTTCATCCAAAAATTAAAAATGGAACTGCCTTTTGACACACTCATCCCAATTCTGAGAATATATCCTAAGAATCCTGAAACACCTGTCAGAAAGAATATACGCACCCCTATGTTCATAGTAGCATTATTTATCATAGTGAAGACCCGGAAACGGCCCAAGTGCCCTTTAGCAGATGAGTGGGTGAAAGAGCTGTGGTACATGTACACAGCGGAATACTACACAGCTGTAAACAAGAAATAAATATGTTGAGGTGACATTGGTTAGTAACTTTATATAAATTACAAGTGTACAGTCTTATGATACACCATCTATATACTTGCTCTGTGCTCATCACCCAAAGTCTAGTCTCCTTCTGTGACCCCCTTTACCCTGTTTGCCCTCTCCCACCCCCTTCTCCTCTGGTAACCATTTTTTCATTTCTGAACCTATGAGTGTGTTTGTTTTCTGTTTTTATTACTTCCTGTGTGTCTGTGTGTGTCCATGTGTGTATGTCTGTGTATGTGTGTGTATATTTGTGTGTATATACATGTGTACATTTGTGGGCATGTGTATTTTATACATGCATAACTATTTAGAAGCATTTAGCAGTGAAGCTTTCTGGTCTCCAAGTTCACTTTGCAGGAAAAAATTTAATCACAGATTCAATATAGTTAATATGTATGACAGTTCAGAGTTCCAGATTTCACCCCCATAAGGGCAAAATGATATGTTTCTTGTCCTTTTCTGTCTTATTTCACTTAGCATGGTGCTCTCCAGATCCATCCAAGTTGTTGCAAATGGCAGTAGTTCATCTTTCTCAGCTGAGTAATATTCCATTGTGTACATTTCCACACCTTTATCCTGTCATCCGCTAAAGGACACTTAAGGTTGTTTCTATGTATTTACCTTTTTTTTCCTAATAGAGTCATTCATGGTTCCTAGTTTTCCATTTCATAGATCTGCTGTGTAATATTTACATGATCATTCACTTAAAGTATTCTCTCAGTTTGGATTTTTTCTTTTTCTTTGTTTTTTAGGGATTTTTAAATTTTTAAAAGTTAAAATTTATTGGGCTGACAATGATTAATAAGTTTGTTACAGGATTTTTTCTTGTTTTTAAAGATCTTATTTATTTATTTTTAGAGAGAGGGGAAGGGAGGGAGAAAGAGAGGGAGAGAAACATCAATATGTGGTTGCCACTCATGTGCCCCTAACTAAGGACCTAGCCCACAACCCAGGCATGTGCCCTGACTGGGAATCGAACTGGTGACCTTTTGCTCTGTAGGCCAGCACTCAATCCACTGAGCCACACCAGCCAGGGCTGTTACAGGTTTTTCAAGTGTACATTTCTATGATACATGATCTGTATATGTTACCCCACTTCTGTTTTGGTTTTAAATTTACACAGAGACATCTGTTTCTTTGATTCTAAAATGTAGGAATATTGGTTATCTGTGACTATATAAACAGGGGACTCCCAGAGAGATCCAGGAGGTACTGGGGGCCCACATCAGGTCTCCAGGCTGGCTGGGGCCACTAGTAAGTGTCCTTGGGGACATCTTCTGTACCTTCTAGGGTCCATGCAGTTCCCCTTCCTGGAGTGTGGGGTCTAGGTCCTTCCTAGGTTAGTGGAAGGACAGAGCAGCATACACAGTGGGCTCATCTGGGGGCTCCTCTGATGGGGAGGATGGGGGTGGACTTGTCTCCCATCTGAGGGTCAAGTGGGTCAGCTGGGCGTAGGTCACATCCTGGGGGGCAGCAGATGCAGCAGCCTGGAGCAGGGGGAAGAGAGAAAGTTGAAAGGTGGTTGGGGTTGGGGAAGCCTGGGGCCTGGAGAGGGCAGGACCCACCTGACTGTCCATCTCTCTGTCCTCTTCTGTTTGTCTGCCCTTCCTGTCCAGCAATTCCTCTGACAGGGGGGAAGGTGAGGGGGCCATTCCCTGCATCTGCCTTGATCTTGAGCTGGTCACCTGGGCATAGGTCTCTCCCTGGGGGTTGTCATAGGTCCTGTTCTGCTGCAGAGAGACAGTGAGACAGAACCAGTGTGTCCTTGGCCCCACAGTTGAAACCCTCCAGTCACGTGTCCACATGGTGTCAGAGTGTCGACATAAACTTCAGATCAGATGAGGTCACTCTCCTGATGGAGTCTGTAGGGACTTTCTGAGCCTTAGATCATCTAGAAGCTTCTATAGTTCTGACTCTTAACCTAATTCACTGTCTCTTGCTCATGTGGCTCCAGCCATAGGGCCCATCTGGCTGAAGCAGCAGTTCCTGCCTCAACCTTTGCACCTGCTGTTTTCTCTGTTCTCCCCTCACCACACACTCCTCCCTCTGCTCTTGCTTCATTCTTCACAGCACTTGGCTCTCCAGACGCCATCTGCCTGTTTGCAGGTGTCTCCCCCACCCACAGGGAGCTGGAGGAGGGTGGGGACAGGCTGCTCAGGGCTGTACCAAGGCACCAACATGGAGCTGGTAACAAGTGAGCTCCTGTCACGGCTGCTGGGTGAATGAGTGACAGGACCCTGGGACCTGCAGGTGGTTCACTCATTCATGCCTCCTCCTGAGACCTGGGGCTGCACAAGGTCAGAGAGAGGGCAAGGAACCAGCAGAGGGGATCACCAAGTAGGGGACATGAGGTCACAGGAAAGTGGGGGGAGTGAGTCACAGCAGGACAACCTGATACCCATGAGAAGTTGGTGTGGGTGCTGCTGAGATCAGGGGCGGGTGAGGGCAGGCAGTGACCACTGGAGTCAACTGGGTAACAGGAAGGTACTTGGTAGCCTATATAGCACCAGGGGTCTCACCTGAGGGTCCAGCTCCATGCCTTCCCCAGGCTGTGGGTCCTTCATGGCAGCATCTGCTGGGGAAGAACCGGGTGTGTCTCCTGTCATGATCCCTGAGTTCTCAGGGCTGCAGACCCGCCTGCTCCCAATGGGCCATTAACTCATGGATGAGGTGAGGGGCCAGGTCAGGCTGTGTGGATTTCAGTCCCTCTCACCCCTGACCCCACAGCCTCCCAGGCTATGCTCTTTCCCATTGTCTCCCGAAATCCCTCTGCCCCCTCCCCAGGGCAGCTGTCCATTCTTCTCACAGAGGGGCTCTTCCTGGGTCTCCACAGCTGCGCTGGAGCTGGGGGAGGAGATGGGAGTTAAGGACAGAGTGAGGCCTTGGGTGGGGGTCTGGGGTCTTTGGGGCAGGAATTACCTGGTCTGTAGGCCTCTGTCCTTGGGCTCCAGGTCTGTGGCCCCTGCAGGAGGTCAGATATCAGCCTTCCTCTGGGCTGGTCAACAGCAACAGTTTCAGTCCTGGGAGGGTTGGGACCCCCTACTCCCCATGTGATTCCAGAGGAAAGAAGGAAACCTTAACACACTTATGTGTATGTTTCATGTTTAAGGAGATTGAAAACGATGAAAGATTACCATACATTTGGAAATCTCTGCTGGTGTTGAGTGTTTTCTTTCTAGAATTTCTGGAGAATCTGTTTCTTAGCTGACCTTCTCCATCTATTTGTTTTTCCTGCAGCAGGTCCTCTGAGCCCCTCTCTTCTGTGACCCAGGTCACCCCGTTCCCTACTCACCTGATGTCCTGCCTTTGCTCTGATGCTGGTGTTGGAGGAAGAGGAAGAGGAGGAGGAGGGAGAGCAGCAGGACAAGCGCCACCAAGACCCCAATCAGCACGTTCCAGTACCATTGGAGACCTTGAGCTGGAGTGACAAAATGAATGAGCCCAAGGTGCCATTTAATGAGCACCTACTGTGTGCGAGGCACATGCTGGGATCTGTCATTCATCTCCTCTAGCCTCACAGCCCTCGTGCACCAGGGATGGCTGATCCACCACCCAGTTCACTGTGGCTCAGAGAGGTTAGCACCTGACCCAGGTCACCCAGCCTGGCCAGGGCAGGGCTGGGACTTTACACGGAAACTTGTGTTCCTTGTACTCTCCTCCTGCTGCCCCAGGTGGACACCGGCTCTGAGCTTTGGGCTCCTCATCTGCAGGGACCTGTCCTGTTTCCCCTGGAGCTGAGGGTCCTTCCTTATTACCTGCCCCCAGCACAGCAGGGACACAGCAGGGGCAGGGGTGTGTGGTAAACCCTTATGCACCCTTCAAATGGTTGGGCTGGGCTGGGGCTCTGCCTTCCTGAGCTCTGTGAGTCCCCTTGTGTCACCTAATGTCACCACAGGCCTGTGAGCAGGAAGGGACCAGGGATGAACAGACATGAACCCGACTTTCAGAGAAGAGAAGAGACCACAGGCCCCATAGCAGGAGCAGCAGAGCCTAGACCCGAACCAGGTCTGACTTCAGCCCTTCTTCCCTCCTCTGAGCTGAGCACGATCTGATGGAAAGGACCCGGGTGTCCCAAACTTATGTCTTCCTGGTCCCTCCTTGTACAATGTCACTGTCACTGCTACAGAGGGACAGTCCCCATAACATGTGCTGGAGGGCTTCTTTGTGAGGCCTCCTCCTGGGAGGTCAGAGTCAGACTGAAAGGAAATCTAAGCTCTGAACCATGATTCTTCCCTTTTACACTTGGAGACACTGAGGCACAGAGAGGGGAAGGGGGTGTCCAAGTCAGAGCCTCCCGAGGTGCCTGAACTTGCATAAGACTCAGCCCCACCTGCCATGGACACATCCACCGCCTCCCCACAGAGACCCTCACTTACTAGTCTGAGGGCCTGACATGGTGTGGCCGAGGGGCAGATCCTCAGAGACTTCTGGAAATTCAGGTTGGGGATGAGTGGTGGGGCTGCCTTCTCCCTCCTTGAGCTTGGCTCCTCCCCAAGAATGAGCCCCAACATATCCCTCATTCATGATCACCCCTCCATCACTGACCTCACTCACCCCTGTACAGGCCTGACACTATGGTGGGGGAGGGGTGGATCCTCAGAGCTTCTAAAGCCTCCCGTGTCCCCTGAAATCTCTCTCTGAATCCCCTCCAGGACAGAACTTTATCCTTGAGTATCTGTGTGGACATTGGATCCTCTGAAAGACAGAACTGCCCTGGGCTGGTCTATGCCCCCTCTGAGTGAAGGGGACCCAGTGACTCACCAGAGGTGGAGGTGGGCCCTGTGGGTGGGGGATTGGGGTTTCCAGAGGGTCCTGGGAAGGAACACAGAAGGGGGTGAGGGTCTGGGCTGCACCTGGGATCCCCATCTCACCCAGACTCCTCCTACATCTGGTGCTGTGGCTTCCAAGACCCTCTCACTGCCCACCTGGAACCTTCTGGACCAGGTAGGGGGCAGGGTGGACAGTGGCAGCAGGGTCTCTGAGGGGCAGATCTCTGCCAGGTGACCATCCTTGCAGCCCTCTCCCTCCCCTTTGAGCCCATATTCTTCTGGGGACCAGGACCTGAGCTAACAGCTCAGAAAGACAGTGTCAGGGGACTCACCTGAGACCAGGAGCTCCAGGGGGGCACTAGGTTGTGACAGCAGGTAGGGGGAGGTGCTAAGTGAGCTGTAGCACCTGTAGGTCCCACCATGGGCTGAGGTCACAGGACCCATGGAGAACTCTGCCTGGTACTGCTGAGCTTGGTACTGTGATATGAGATGTAGGGGGGGATCAACTGCCCCCTCCTTGGTCAGAAAGAAAGTATCCCTCCAGCTCCATGACTGACACAGCAGGGTCACATTCTCTCCTGTGGCCACCATGGGTCCTGGTTGCACTGAGAGGGAGGGTCTGTCAGGGAGCCATCCTAGAGAGAGGGGGTGGGTGAGGGGCTGCAATCCACCTTGTTCTGACCTGAGAGCCACCAGACCCCTTTCTGAGGACCCTCCTCTCTGTCTGCCTTCTCTGTGTCTCCCCCATCTCCTCTGATCCTCTGTCTCTCTGTCTTCTTCTCTCCCTGGGGACCCTACACCCCTTGTCCTGACCATCACCACCTGAGACCCCCAGCAGGGCCTGAGCAGACTCTGGATCCATGACTGAACCTGCTGGCTCCTCACCTGCCACCAGGATGTCCAGGGGGTCACTGGGAGCCGACCACCGGGAGGAGAGTCTGTGTCCACTGTAGCACCTGTACCGGCCCCCGTGGGAGCTGCTCACAGTGCCCAGGGGGAAGCTGGCCTGAGAGAGCCCAGCCTGGGGATGCAGGACAGAGCTCTGGCGGAGGTCCTGTTCCCCCTCCTTGGACAGAGCGAATCTGTCATAGCCGATGTCAGAGAGACACTGGAGAGTCAGGCTCTGTCCAGAGGCCACAATGGGGCCCTGCTGGGTCAGGAGGGAGGGCTTCTCTGAGCCACCTGCAGGGACCAGACAGGAATGACAGGGCTGTTCCTCCCATGAACCCTCCTCCTGGCCTGGCCCCCAGGTCCCACTGTCTCTCTGTGTGTCTCTATGTTCCCCTCACCCCACCTCTCACATGGCGCTCCCCTCCCTGCAAAGACCCTAGTAACCTGCCTTGAGTCTCAAAACATGGAAGAAGCAAAATAGAGAATTTTTTTACCTGGGACAAGAAGCTCTAGGGGGTTACTGGGCTGTGACCACACATGGGGGCTGTTCCAGTAATATCCATAGCATCTGAATGTCCACCTGTGAGTGGGGGTCACGGGGCCCACAGGAAACAGGTTCAAGTATGGCCCACTGAGCTGTGGCTGTGAGTCCACGGTCCCGGAGATCCTGTCTTCTCCTTCCTTAGTCAGAATGAACCTGTGAAATCCTAGTCCAGAGCCACACTGGAGGGTCACATTCCCTCCTGAGGTCACAACAGGGCTGGGCAGGGCTGAGAGGCTGGGTTTGCTGTAGACTCCTAGGAGAGAAGGAGGCAGCATGTTAAATAGGGTCACACCTCCCTCTTGTACCCCAGGGCTGGGCTGTGAGGGGGAGACCCCCTGAGAGCATCCCCCTTCTGGAGGACAGAGCCTGAGGCTGGGACCCCTGAGTGTCCTCTCACCTGTCACCACCAGCTCCAGGGGGTCACTGCCCTCTGACCAGCCAGTGGAGCTGACATAGTAACACTGATATCTCCCTGCAGTGTGCTCTGTCATCTGTGTGATGAAGAACTTCACCTTCTTCCTAGGATATGGTGACGTCTGTTTGTTCCTGGATGCTGGGCTTCCATCTTTATACAGATGAAATTCCTGGGCCTGCAGGGTCCCCTGACACCAGATGGTCACGGGGCTGAACTGAGGGATCACAGGGCCTGACTCAGCCCAGAGGGTGGGTTTGGGGAGGGTCTCTGAAAGGAATCAGAGGCTGGGTCTTAACACATTTCCACCCCCAGCCCCAGATTGTAGCCCAAAGACCTTCCCTGAGTCCCCCATCCATTAACCCAGAACTTCCTTTTTCCGCCTACAGCTGCCAGATGGGGAAGCAACTTGTCTTTTATGCAGAGAGGGTCCTGGGACCCTAGAGACAGACTCACCTGCCTGCACAGGGATCCTCAGGCCCATGCTCAGCCCTGCAAGAGAGTTCCTGTGAGACATTTGCCCTGAGTCCTGAGCAGAGCCCTCCTCCTCAGGAGCCCCCTGAGTCCTGCGGTCCTGACAGAGCAGGGCTTCCCCTCCCCCTTCACATCTCACCGAGGCAGAACAGGGCTCTGAGGCTGGGGGGCATGGCTTCTCCTCTCTGAAGCCAGCTGTGCAGAAGGAAGAGACCAAGGAATCCTCAGTGTAGACAGCCTCACAGGGTGTGGTCACTGGGAGGCTGGCCATCTCTGTCATGGGGTTGTCACATCACCAGCTACTCAGGAAGGGGAACAGACTCCTCAGGAGTCTGGCCCTTGTTCCCATGATGGAGGAAGAAATAGACCCACAGCCTTCTGAGACACCCCTTGCAGGTGAGTTGACTCACCTACAAGGGCACAGCCTTCCAGGCTCTCTGCCACCAGGTCCCGTTCCCCTCCCCCATAGGGAAACTCTCCTCCCTATGGGTCCTTCCCATGGACAGTGGTCACCCAGGCCCTGGAGACACTTCAGGAAAGTGGGCGTCCCTGTGCCTGCAGAGTTCAGCACTGCAGAGACACGGTCTCCTCCTCAGTGTGAGACAATGAGCACAAAGGGGAAACACAGGGAAATGGGGGAAGGGAACACACCCCTTCCTCTGGACCCGAGTGTGGTTTTCTTTCTATCACAGCCACCCTCACAGACTTCTCATTTTTTCTTAGCAACAGTGTCCACACACCTTCCTGGGGACAAACCTCTGAGTGATCCCTGCCCCCTCAGTGCCCCATGTGTCCTGGTTCAAGCCTCCTCCTTGTGCTGTGGTCCTGCCTTCAAAATTTAGGCAACATTGACTTGAGTCAGAATTCTGATTTTTACTCAAAGCAGATATTTACTTAAATATCATCCATTGTCTGTGTGTCCTTGAGGGGTAAAGTCCTGTCTCTGCCTCAATCTCCTCATCTGGATCCTGTTGTCACAAACCCATCTCCACAGTGGCTGTGGGTCAGTGGTGCTTGTTCATGGGAGGGAGACTTCCATCTCCAGAGCAGATAGGATATGAGTGGGCTGGGACAGGAGAGGATCAAGGTGTCCAGGGTCAAGAGCAGGATTGTAGCACTCACCCAAGACCATGTCTGCTCTGAATACCAAGCACAGCTGCTCACAACAGCTCTACAGTATGTAGGCACAGACATGTGCAGGAAAGAGAAATGTTCCCAAATGGAGAGGGACCCACCGTGGAGAACAGAGACTGAAACTGAGTGGCTCCCAGTAACTAGGACCATCCATAGGTCACAGGGAGGAAATACCCCCTGAGTGGGCAGAGAGGGACCCCAGGTCCTCTCAGGATGGGGCCAGGGAACAGGTGAAGGCTGGAAGTGTGGTCCCTGCCCTGTGTTTCTGTGTGACCTCTGGGATGTCTGTGCTCACTCATCTGAGTTCATGGTCAGCAGTGAGCAGTCTCTCCTGTGTGTCCTGAAACAGACTGAGTCCAGTGTGTCAGCCGTGGGTGTCTGTCCCATGTGTGTGTGTGTGAGGCTCCCATTGGACCAGCCCTGGTGGGCAGAATGCTGAGCAGGTGCTGAGTTTGAGAGAGTGGTCGGCATGGGGCCACAGCCCCTGCTCACCTTGACTCCCAGACCAGCCCTCGAGAATCTGAGAGAGACCAGGTGTGGGAGGGGAGAGACTCCTACAAGAGTGGACAGTGGAGAAATTCTAATGATGACAGACGGTGCTATGGACACCGTTTACTGACACTGGGGACTGTCTCACCCAATGAAAGAGAGTCAGTGGGAAATATGAGGGCAATGGAAGATGATCACATGCAAATACTTGAAAAATAAAGGGAGGACTCAAGTTTTGAGCCAGGAATATGAATTATTTTACCGAAGAGTATAATGAGTTAGAAATCTGAAAGATTCACAGCCCAGTAGAATGGAAACACTAAAACAATTCTTCCCATCAAGGGTGAGACACAGCTGAAGGTCCAGTTATGACAGCAGAGTACAATACAGAGGAAATTTCCAGAGTGCATCTTAGGGAGACCAGAAGTTAGGACTGAGGGTAGCTTGGGACTAGAGTGAGGAGGGCCAATGTCATATCTATGGTGTCAGAAGGAAAGAAGTGAGCATGACATATAGTAACAGCTCGAGAGAACAATAATTGAACGTTTTACAGAGATGAGAAGACCAACTAAGTGATAGGGGACATCTATTTAAAAATGAAATCAGCCCTGTCTGATGTAGCTCAGTGGACTGAGTGTGAGCCTGTGAACCAAGGGTCACTGGATCGATTCCCAGTCAGGGCACATGGCAGGTCCTCAGTGAGGGACATGTGAGAGGCAAACCACACACTGATGTTTCTCTCCCTCTCTTTCTCCTTCCTTTCCCCTCTGTCTCAAAATAAATAAATAAATAAAATGTTAAAAACAATAAAATAGAAATGAAATCTGTATCTTGTCCTCTTGTGGTAAATGAAGCAAATGAAGGGTAAATTAAAATGAAAAAAAAAAAACAAACCCTACTTTCCACTGAATCGTACACATTAAAATGGTTAATATTAAATTATATGAGTTTCAGTAAAAATAAAAATCAAGAAGCACTGGCCAGAGGTCCTTTAAAAAAGTCCTAATATTATTTTCTATGGAAAACACAATTTACTAAAATGACAAGCTTGCTGACACCACACTTCCTCACAGCAAAGAGTGACACCAGAAGACAGTGGGGACACACCTCCAGGAGCAGATTGTCAGTGAAGATCGTGCACTGAGACCCATCAGCTCTGCCATCCCAGTTTCTGAATCCTCCACTCCTGGGATTCCTGGGATCGCTGCTCTGAAGTTGTCTGGAGGTGGTTCTGTGTATTCCTGTTTCTTTCAAAACTTTCTGCTTTGGAACCAAGCCCTGAATCACCCATGTGGGCTGAAATAAAATACCTTCCTCAGAGCAAGTACACAGCAAGCCCAAGTCAGAGGCCTTGGCCAGTCCTGCCCATACCGGGTGCCCACAGCAGGGGGGCAGTCATGGGCAGCAGAGACACCATGGCCCCTAGCAAGCCTGGTCCTGCTGGGTCCTTGGGCAGCATCCCAGCCTCCTCCATCCCAGGTCTTACATCCCAGGTTTTAGTTACTCCAGGGCTCTCCAGCCCAACAAGCAAATAACACTGCCCCTGAGACATGGGGCCTACCAGGGTCCCCCATTGACCCTCAGTCAGAAAAGAGTTATATTTTGTGTAGTTCCAAGAAAATTTTATCCTTTTAAGGACCCACAATGAGGGAGAAAATATATAAGATGTTCCTTGTTCATGGTCATCTTGAGAGGGTACAGTCCCCAAAGTTGCAAATGGTGAATAATAGTAATTATGTTTGTTTTCTGGGACCCATGCATCATCTTATGTGAGCTTCACATCGATTTTGTGTAATAATATTTATTTTTTAAAATCATTTTTTATGGTTATTCTATTACAGTTGTCCCATTTTCCTCCCCTTTGCCCTCCTCCACCCATCCCACACCCCTTTCCTGCAGTCTATTCCCACACTGTTGTCCATGTCCAGGGGTGATTCAGACATGTTTCTGTGACTTGTCCACATTCCACACGCCAACCTGTGACCCTCTTAGCTGGAACTGATGGTTCAAACTCCCAGTCGGCTGCTGTTCCCACTCACTCCTGTCACCTGGAGTCTCACATACTGGGAGGCAGCAGAGCTGTGGGAGCTAAAGGTTTATGAGAAGGTGCATTTAACCAGCAAGGAGCCTCAGGGGAAGCAGGTGTGAGGTCTCCCGTTCTGAAGGGCCTTGAAGACCCTCTGCTGGGCCAGTGGGAGCACAATCTCTCTGGGACTCACCTGGCTTTGCCTGAGAACAAGACACTCACTTGGGTGAACTATGGCCCCTGTTCCACAGGAAGTTGTAGGATGTGTCTCATCTTGAGAATGAGAGGCTCTGTGGTGACTCTCATGTGCCCTCTGATGGCTACAGGGGGAGGGACTTCATGCAGGAAGACAAGTGCCTTTCAAGACCTAGGGCCCTCCCCACACAAGTGTCTTTTCTTGCACTTCAGGTTCATTGAGTTTTCTTACATTTCTTCAGTTCATTGAGTTTCTTTTGAATAATCTATTGGGTAAATTGCAGATCTCCATGGTTTTGGTTCAGTATTGAGGGGCTTTAAAAATATTTTATTTATTTATTTATCTACTTATTTATTTTTAGAGAGAGGGGAAGGGAGGGAGGAAGAGGGAGAAAAACATCAATGTATGGTTCCCCCACTGGGGACCTGGCCCGAAACCCAGGCATGCACCCTGATTGGGAACCGAACCTTTTGATTTGCAGTCAGGTGTTCAATACACTGAGCCACACCAGCCAGGGCTCAAGCACTATTATAATCTTTGGAGATGGCATAGTATTTGAATCTTCCTGATGTTTGGAGTTTTGTGTTCTCATTTTGTATTTGGTGTTGCAGTCACCTCCTGCAAGCTTCACCACCTGCCCTCAGGTGAGAGATGGTTTCTGTTGGTCCTGCTTGTATTCTGTGGCTCTGGGACCTTGTGTGGATATACTGGCTTCTTGATTCTGGCTTCCTCTAGTGGCAGGATCTCAGGTTGTGTGTTTGTCCCCATCTTTGTGTATCTGGCCAGTTGTTGGTAAATTCTGCCTTTTTTATTTTATTTATTTTTTTAAATAGACCATGTCTTTTGCAGACACAGGCCCCAGCCACCCATGCTGGATGGCCATCTCCAAGGTCCAGCAGACCTCAGTCCAGTCTCAGGCCTCTTCCTAGCTCTCTTGAGATCAGAGGCATCTTAGAGCCCTAAGGGAATCGCTGGAGGAGTGCCTGAACGATAAGTGCCGGGCTTATCATCCGGGCAACAATATGTGGTGCTCTGGACCGGTCAGCTCCAGGTGGGCTACACAAGGCCCTGCAGGCCAGCAGGGTCTGGGATGAATGCAGGGCTCTGGCCGGGTTGCTAGGCAGCGAGTGGCTGGGCGAGGTGCTGCGGATCTCGAGCGTCGCAGCAGTGATGGTGCAAGCTGTGGTGGCGGCGCTATAGCTTGGACAGGTGGTCGCTGGGGGTTAAGCGTTTCTTCCCGGTGTGCACCTGGTGGTGGCCGGCCTGGTCAGAGCGCAAGGACTTCTCATAGCAGGCTGGTGAGTGGCAGGCAGAGGGCTCTCACTCTTGAGCGTTCCCAAAGCGATGTGAGGGGCGAAGACTAGTAGCAGCTCTGACGCAGCCAATGAAGGGAGTGCGGTGGCTCTTGGCAACGGCGGCGCCGCCAAAGTGCGGGGACCGGTTGAGGGAGAGACAGGTTCCGGGAAGATGGCGTGGCGTCTCCCTGAGACTCCGGGGCCGCCACGCAGGTCGGCCAGGATCCTGCGGCCTGCAGGGGTGGCGCTGCTACTGCTTTGGGCCCTGGCCAGACACTCTGCGCACACTCAGGCCCTCGGTGGGGCCAGCGTTGTTGGCCTTTCTGGCTGCAGCGCTCAGTGCACCCTCGGAGAAGGCCGTGAGCTTGTCGGGGCGAAGTAATCCACGCTAGTCACCGCCGCCAACCCGTCCTTAAAGGTGCTCAGCTGGGACTGAGTGGAGGCGGAGAAGACAGGGGCACAGGAGAGATGGAGGTGGCGGCTCTCACCGCCCTCAAGAAGCTTTTACACCCAGGAATTAGGCAAATGCTTCTGAAAAACAAAAACAAAAACAAAAACAACAAACGGTGTTTTCTGGGAGCTGTTTTACAAACACATGACTTGACCGTTATTTCACACACCAGTGTGCTCTTTCAGACTCATGGTGTTTCTGGAGAAACCACACCAAGTGCATCATCTGACACACAGAGCAGTCCTTAGCCGGGCCAGGCAGTGTTTTTCACGACGATTTTGGATTTATTTGTTCCAAACTAGTCTTTTAAGATTAACTTTACTTGGGGTGATATTAGCTAAAAAATTACATAGGTTTCAGCTCTGGCTGCTGTGGTTCTGGGTTGAGCACTAGCCTGCGAACCAAAGGGTCCCCTGCTCCATTCTTGTTCAGGGCACACGGCTGGGTTGTGAGCCCGGTTGCAGGCTGAGGGACTGTTGACAGCAAGTCAGAGGCAACAAATCCGAGTTTCTGTGGCACATCGATGTTTCTCTCCCTCTCTCCCTCCCTTCCCCTCTCTAAAAAAATAATAAAAGAAATCCTAAAAATATTAGAGAAGTTTCAAGTACACAGTTCTATGACACATCATCTGTATATGGCATTGTGTTCACATTCCAAAATCAAATCTCTAGTCACCATATTTTTCACTCTCTTCACCCTCCTCTGTGTCACTCTGACCCCTTCCTCTGGTGACCACCACTCCATTGTATGTGTCCATCCGTCCAAACTGTTCCTGGTGTTTATCCTTTTAATCAGTCATTAAAAAATGATTTGTTGTCTGACCCAAACATACAAAGTCAGCTAATGTGAAAAATAAAAGAGAAAAATGTCCTACATGAAAGTGGACCAGAGATGGAGGGTGAGCCCAGGTGCGGTTTGAACCTGTGATGTGGGCTGAGCCTGAGGCCATGGGGTTGAGAACAGAGGGGCTATCCCAGCAACCAAGCAATGTTTCCTGAGCAGGTGCCCTGTCCAGGTAGAGGTTCAATTGGGGAAGGTGACCGATTCCTCCCCTGGACACACGCAGTGCTGGTTAGTGACATCAGACAGTAAAAATATTTAAGCAATGTATGATGTGGGGGTCGTTTTGGTAAGTTTCAGAGAAGGAGAAGAATGGAGCACAGAGAGACTCCATAACAGGTGGGTGTCATGGAGTACTATGATGTACTATGGGTCAGCACAGGGGGTCAGAGAACCCTCAACCAGGAAGACGGTGATAATTCTAAGAGCTGTGGGTCACGAGGCTGTGCTGTGCCCTGGTCACATGGGGCCTCTGCTCCCTGCAGGTCATGTCAGCACTCTGTCTGGGTGGCCTGGGGAGCCTATGGGACTGTCCCAGGACCGACCACCCCACTGAAGGGCAAGAGGTGCGGGGAGAGGATTACAGCACTGTCCCCTGACCCACAGTGAGAGCCACCCTCTGTCCTGGCTGAGTGTGTGAATTTGTCTCTCCCTCACACTTCCTCTCTCTGACTTCCTTCCTCATCTCTGTGAGCAGGAGACCTTCTCTCCATCCCTCCCATCCAGGCCCCTGAGCATCTCTGCCTCCTCACTGCCCTGCTCTGTGAGGGGCAACCCTGTATCTGACACTGGTCACTCCGTCTCTATGTGCTGGGCAGAAGCACCAGTTGCAGGCAATTCACAGGTTTTAATCTAAGACAAGGGGAAACAATATTGACCATCTGTTCTGAGCCAGTCACTTCCCCTCTCCCTTTGCCCTCACTGCAGACAAGGGTGGAAGCTCAGGTCTCACGGGTGTTGTTAGGATCAGCAGAGCCTGAGACATGAAGAGGCTCCATCTCTTTCTGGGTCTGACTAAGACACGGGCTTGAGAGACCTGTGGGAGGAAGGGCTACTCAGAAGCAGCCTGTGAATCCCCCAAGTCTTCAGGGGGCATCAGAAGCTACAGGGCATCCTTGGTTGAATGACAGGTGATCCCAGACTGAGAGGAGACAGGAAGGACGCTGCTTGTCCTGGATCCTGGACTCACCACACTCAGGAGTAAGGGTGGGACTCCCACCAGGGGCTGAGCCTGAACACTGGGCACTGAGGGTATCTTGGACCTAGTGGGAGTCCTGTCTCTCATGAAACTGCCTGGGGACATGGGGCCACTTCTATGGTAATAAGGATCCACAGGGAACCATGGCTATTGACTTGCATTTCTTGTTAATGAGGTAAAGTCACATAACACAGATTTGAGCCTTTTAAAATATAGAATTCACTGGAATGTAGTAAATACACAGTATCTCAACCAGAACTTTAATGTTGTTTTTAATAAGGAATTTGTGTAACCCTGCCCCAAAATTACATGAAGCTGTCTGTCTCCCATCTCTCCTCCCTATCAGCCCCTGACAAGCCCACCTGACTTCTATGTCTGTGGGTTTCCTCCTCCTGGACACTTCATACAAACACAGTCACAGAAAATGTGATCTTTTTGTGTGGCTTCTGTCACTTAGCTGCAGAATGCTGACGTTCATTCACGCTGTTGCTGGTGTCAGCACTTTGTTCTTTATGACTTAAAAAACCCTCCCAGGTTATGAAGACACCAGATTTGTTTATACGAGTGGGATCCAGCATGAAGGGGTGTGTAGATGTGAACCCAAACCAGCCATGTGGGGCAGCCCCTCAGGTCACAGTGGTGAGAACAGAAGGACAGTCAAGGGGAGTCCGTGAGGATGAGGAGGGACAGCCCCACAGTGGGAGGGAGGAGGCATCTCCACAGGAACATGGCTCACGTTTCATGTCCCCAAACCTCGTCTGCCATGTCTGTTCTCCTGGACAAATTGGCAGTTTCCCACCTGTGGTCAGACTGTCCTTCCCCACCTCCTGGGTCATCAGATGGGCTCCATGGCTCCCCCGACTCTGAATGGTGCCCTGTCCCCTCTGTGTTCATGTCCGGGCTGCAGTCTGTGCCATTCCCTCGCTGTCTCGAGCCTGAAACAGCAGCATCTCCAGTGCCACCAGGACCAAGTCAGCCACGCCCATGTGGATGAGATTCTCCACCTTGTAGTCTCTGGGGTGGGAGGGTAGGAAATGTGAGCCTGTAGAGCAAGGCTGTGGGGGTGGGGATGTCACATCTGCTGGGGGTGGGGAGCCCCTCTCGCCCTGTAAAACCTGGGGTGTGAGGCTGGGCTGGCCAAATGCGCAGGCTTCAGATGCATGGAGGCTGTGCTGGGGTGAGACTCCACAGTGACAGTTTTGCCCCAGGCTGAATTGCAGGCAAAAAGTTTTCAAGTTTTTACCTTAAATACTATTTCATTTATAAAGTGTTTGAATGATGCTTTGATAAATGATTAATAATACCCTTTTATTTCTGAAGAGGTTTTCATTATAAATTGGTATAGGGATTTGAGAAAAGTGTTGCATTTGTTGATGTAATCTTCTTTTTTCTATTTCTTTTAATGTTGAATTTCAGTAATTGAGTTTTTTACTCTAAAACCATCCATTCATTCCTGAAATCAGACACCTGCATGCTTGGGATATTTATCCAGTATATATTCATGCACGCTTTTTAAAAATTAAAAAAATATTTATTTCTTTTTTTTTGAAAGAAAGGGAAGGAGAAAGAAAGGGAGAGAAACATCAATGTATGGTTGCCTCTCACATGTTCCTCACTTGGAACCTGGCCTGCAACCCAGGCATGTGTCCTGACTGGGAATCTAACTGGTGACCCTTTGGTTCACAGGCCAGCCCTCAATCCACTGCACCACACCAGCCAGGACACACACATTAATTCTGGAGAAGTCTGTTGCTTTGATTCCAAAGTGTATGGACATTACTTATCTGTGATTGCATCATCAGGGGACTCTCAGAGGGTCCCAGAAGCTGCTGGGGATGGATGTCAGGTCACCCGGCTGGCTGGAGCCCTGCTGAGTGTCCTTAGGGGGCAGCTCCTGTGCCTTCTGGGGTCCCTGCAGGCCCTATCCCTGGAGTGTGGGGTCTGGGTCCTTCCAGGGCTAGTGGACGGCCAGAGCAGCGTACACACTGGGCTCATCTGAGGGCTGCTCTGATGGGGAGAAAGGAGATGCAGTTGTCTCCCGTCTGAGGGTCAAGAGATTCAGCTGGGCATAGGTCACATCTTGGGGGTCTTCAGATGCAGCAGCCTGGAGCAGGGGGACAATGAGAGGGGTGAAAGATGGTTGGGGTTGGGGAAGCCTGGGGCCTTGAGAGGACAGGACCCACCTGTCTGTCCATCTGTCTGTCCTCTTCTGCTTGTCTGCCCTTCATGTTCAGCAATTTCTCTGACAGAGAGGAAGGAGAGGGGTCCATTCCCTGTCTGAGTCTTGATCTGCAGTTCACCTGGGTGTAGGTCACTTCCTTGGAGCTGTCCCTGGTTCCATTCTGCTGCAGAGACAGTGAGAGGGAACCAGCGTCTTCTTGATTCCAGTCAATTTTCCATGTGTAGCCAGACTGATGATTTAAACTTTAAATCAGATTAAGTCACTCTCAGGATGGAATCTGGAGGGACTTCCTGAGTCTTGGGGGCCTCTCAAAGTTTCTATGGTTCTGATTCTTAACCGAACACACTCTCTGTTGCTCATTCAGCTCTAGCTACATGGGCCATCTGGCTGAAACATCATGTCCTGCCTCTGGACCTTTGCACCTGCTGTTTTCTCTGTTCCCTGTCCAGACCACACACTCTACTTCCCAATGGAAGTGACCAGTGGAGTAAATGGGGCAACAGGAAGGTCTTTGGTGGCCTGGACAGAAGCAGGAGTCTCACCTGAGGGTTCAGCTCCATGCCCTCTCCAGGCTGTGGGTCCATCAGGGCAGCATCTGCTGGGACAGAATGGGGTGTGTCTCTTGGCAGGGTCCCTGAGTTCTCAGGTATGTAGACCAGCGTTCTCCCAGATGGGCCACTAACCCAGGGGTGAGGTGAGGGGCCAGGTCATGCTATGGATATCAGTCCTCACCTCTGACTCCCACACTCTCCCAGGCTGTGCCCTCCCCCATCAGCTTCTGAAGTCCCTGCGTCCCCTCCCACAGGGTAGCTGTCCTTTCCTCTCACAGAGGGGAGCTTTTTGGGCATCAGCCTCTATCTGGGCTGGTCAAGAGGGGCAATGTCATCTTTGGGAGGTAGGAGCCTCTTCTTGAGTGATTCCCGAGGAAAGAAGGAAACCTTAACACATGGTTGTGTGTGTATTTCATATTTCAGGACATCGAAGACAACAAAAGATTACCTGAAATTTTATACATGTACTGACATTAAATGTATTCTTTTCTGATTTGAGATTCTGGATAAATCTGTTGTTCAGTGGACTTTCTCCATCTTTTTGATTTTACTGTGCCAGGTGCTCTGAGCCCTTCTCTCCTGTGACCCAGGTCACCCCGTCCCCTACTCACCTGATGTCCTGCCTTTGCTCTGACACTGGTGTTGGAGGAGGAGGAATAGGAGGAGGGAGAGCAGTAGGATGAGGGCCCCTGAGACCCCTATCAGGACATTCAGGGACCACTAGAGACCTTGGCCTGGAGTGACATGGTGAATGAGCCAAAGGTGTCATTTAATCAGTACCTGCTGTGTGTGAGGCATGTGCTGGGGTCTGTCCTTCATCTGCTCTAACCTCATAGCCCTCATGCACCAGGGATGGCTGACCCCCCAACCAGTCCACTGAAGCTCAGAGAGGTTATCTACTTGTCCCAGGTCACCCAGCCTGGCTGGGGCAGGGCTGGGACTGGACCTTGGGATGTAGGTTCCCTGTGCTGTCCTTTTGCTGCTCCCAGGGGGACATGAGCTCTGAGCTCTGGGTTCCTCACCTGCAGGGGCCTGTCCTGTCTCAATGGAGCTCAGGGCCCTTTCTTATCACCTGCCCCACAGCACTGAAAGGACACGAGAAGGTCAGGGATGAGGGATGGGCTCTGTTTCTCTCCTGGGATTTTATCTACTCTGTACGTCCTTGATACCCCTTTGGGAAGGTTGGGCTGACTGAAGGTCCTGTCCTTCCTGAGCTCTGTGAGGCCCTTATGTCACCTAATATCACTGCAGGTCTATGAGCAACAGGGGACCAGAGATGAACAGACATGAACCCAACACTTAGAGAAGAGAAGGGACCACTCAGCCCACAATGGAAGCAGCAGAGCGGGGACCTGAACCAGGTCTGACTTCAGCCCTTGTTCCTTCCTCTGAGCTGAGCACCTGAGCTGAGGGAAAGGACTTATGTTCCCAGAACTTGTCCTGTCTGTCCCTCCCTGTACAGTGTCACCATCCCTGCTACAGAGGGGACAGTCCCCATAACATCATGTCCTCCATGCCTTCCCTGTGAGGCCCCCTCCCAGGAGGTCAGAGACAGACTGAAGGAAATCTAAGCTCTGGGCCATGATTCTCCCCTTTTCCACTTGGAGACACTGAGGCACAGAGAGGGGAAGGACATGTCCAAGTCAGAGCCTCCAGAGGAGCCTGAACTTGCACAGGACTCAGCCCCTGTCCCCAAGGACACACCTACCACCTCCCCACAGAGACTCTCACTTATTGATCTGAGGGCCTGTCTGTGCTGAGGGATTCTTCATCTTTGGAACCTTCTAGAAATTCAGCATGGGTTGAGTGGTGGGGGCTGCCTTCGCCCCACTTCAGCCTGGCTGCTTCTCCCCTGGGTGGGACCGTAGCATCTCACTTTGCCGTGACCACCACCACCCATCAGCTGAGTGCCACACAGCCATGGGGGACCCATGATCCCCCCAGCATCTCTGTCTGGACCACAGCCTCCCTGGGAGATAAGCATGCCAGCGAGGGTAGTGTTCTCTCTGGGAGCAAGTCCTCTGCTAGTCACCACACTTATCTTGGTCTCTTGTTTTCTGGGAGAAGGAGGGGGATTGGGATGGGTGCCCACCTTTCCTCCTTTTGCTCAGCCCAAGGTCTCTCCAGCCTCCCTGGGCCCCAGGAAGCTGTCTGGGCCTAATGGATGAGGATGAATTTGAGGCAGGGTGGGGTGGCTCTGGAGTTTCAAATCCCACTGGGAGGTGAGAGTCCCCTCAGGCTGACTGTCATTCAGAGATGACCTCACTCTGTATTCACCCTAAAATTACCCTGGGGAACAGGATGCTGAACTGACCATGAGGACACAGGAGAGGGCTGGAGCTTCTCACCTGAGACCACAAGCTCCACGGGGTCACTGGGCTGTGACAGCTGGTAGGGGGAGGAGCTGTTTGAGCTGTAGCACCTATAGGTCCCATGGTGGCCCCAGGTCACAGGGCTGATAGTGAAGTTGGCCTGAAAGGGGCCAGCCTTGTCCTCCAGAGGAAGCTGCTGGGGAGGATCCAGGGACCCCTCCCTGTGCAGGTAGAAGGTGTCAGCCCTGACCTCAGAGTGACACTGCAGGGTCATGTTCACTCCCCAGGGCACTGAGGGTCCTGGCTGGGCTGAGAGGGAGGCTTTCCTGTACATTCCTGAGGAGAGGAGGGCTGTGATGTGTGCAGAGTCACCCCTCCCCCCATGTCCTTGTCCCTGAGCTGAGGGACCATGTCCTTCCCCAGGGATGCTGACTATGACCCCTCTCAGCTCCTCTCAGTCCCTCTGAGTGGGCGTCTTTTTCTCCATGTACCTCACTCCCCTTTTTTCACTCCCTTCCCTAGACATCAGTCCTCTTTGCCTCTGGTCAAGGACCCTGACCTGGATCCCATCAACACCAAGGTGAACCTAGGCCTCAGCCTTGAGCAGACAGTCAGGACAGGGGGTGGGGCAGGGCAGGACTCCTCACCTGCAATCAGGATGTCCAGGGGGGTGCTGGGGGCTGACCACACATAGGAGAGGTTGTGACCACTGTAACACCTATAGCGGCCCCCATGGGTGAGGTTCACAGGGCCCAGGGGGAAGTCGGGGCTGTGCTGCCCATAGAGATGCTGGAGGAGTGTCAGCCCTTCGCCCTTGGTCGGAGCAAATCTGTCAAAGCCGGGCTCTGAGCGACACTGGAGGGTCAGGCTGTCTCCAGGCAGCAGCAGGGATCCTGGCTGGACTGAGAGGTAGGGCTCCTTGTACACACCTGGGGAGAAGGGTCATTGTCACCCAGAGGACACACACGCCCACCACCCACACAGGGACTCCAGGGAGATCTCTCACATGTCCCTCATTAAGCCTCCTACCTGTGGTTCTGTTCTTGGTAAACCCCTATCAGTGACCCCACAACCCTTAGGGTTTTACTAGGCACAAGGTTTAGGTCAGTTGTTTGGGCAGAGGAAAGAATTGAAGCCAAGTGTGGGCCACCTCACCTGTGACCTCGAGGTGCAGAGGGGCACTGGGCTGTGACCACACATTGGGGTAGGAGCTGGAGGAACCATAGCATCTGTAGGTCCCCCCATGGGAGGAGCTCACGGGGCCCACAGGGAAGACAGCCTGCCATGTCCCAGCATAGGATCTCTGGTCTGATTTCCTGTGTTGGAGTTGCTCAGCCCCTCCCTCCTTGAACAGGTGGACAGTGTCCAATGTGAACTGTGAGCTGCACAAGAGGGACACTCTCCCTCCTGAGGCCACCACTGGGCCTGGGTGGGCTGAGAGGGAGGGTGGTCTGTATACTCCTGAGGGAGAAGGAGGATCTGAGTTAAGGGGGACCATCACCCCACCTTCACCAAGTGTGTGCTGTGAGGGGTGTGGCCCCCCTAAAGCCAAACTCTGTCCCCTTCATTCTCTGAGGAGGAGCCCACAGCGGGGAGGAACCCGGGTTCCCCTTACCTGTCACCACCAGGAGCAGGGGCTCACTCCTCTCAGACAGTGTATGCCCAGGGCTGTATGCACACTGGTACAGCCCTGTGTGCTGTGAGCTCATGGACCGAATGAGGAACCTGATCTTGTTGCTGGAGGTCTTTGGGATGCTCATATCCAAGGGCTGAGAGCTTCTCTCTTTATACAGAAGGTAGCCATCTGCCTGCAGAGACCCCTGACACCAGATGGTCACAGGGCTCCCCTTGCTCACCCTGGGGCCTGGGTCAGCCCAGATGGAGGGTTTGGGGAGAACTTCTGGAAAGGAATCAGACTTGCACTGTCAGGAGGGTCCTTATGCCCTCAGTTTTTCCACCTGTCACTCCAAGCCCCATCCCACACTGGTCACCACCAGTCCAGACCCACTCTGTGTCCCCCAGCTGCTCAGGGGCATCATTGTGCTGAAGCAGGAGGTCTGAGGGAGGACTCACCTGCCTGGATCTGGTCCACGGGCCCCAACACAGCCCTGGAAGAGAGTCCCTGTGAGATTTTCCTTCACCCACACACCAAAGCTCCTGACCTGTTCTAGGCCCCTGAGTCCTGAGGTCAGAGTTCAGGCTGAGCCACCTCTTCTTCCCTAGAAGTTGTGTTCCCACTGAGACTCATCATTCCCGGGTCCCCTTGGAACCAGCACCTGGGAGATGATGGGATCCCATGCCTTATCTTTCCCCCAAGCTCACCAAGACAGAGAAGGATGGTGAGGGTCGGGGTCGTGGTGCTCCCTGTCATGGTCACCAGTGTGCAGACAATGTATAAAATCAGCAGCAACACAGAGTAACGAATGGTGTGTTAACACAGCCTCAGCTCTGTGTGACAGGTCATGGGTTCCTCATCAGTGGCCTGGCAGGAAGGGAAGTAGCCCCTCCCTGAGAGATGGGACTGAGAAGACAGCAAGCTCTGGAGATTTCAGCCTGATCTGAGTCTCAGCAGACCCCACAGGCTCTGCACCCACCTTGTATCACACCCAGATCCAGAGGGTGACACCTGTCCCAGAACATGAGGGTAGAGGACACCAGGCAGGACTCAGGAGCAGCCCAATTTCTGTTCCAGTTGTGACTCTGCCTTTTCTTGACCTTTGTGTCCTTGGTTAAGTCACTTCCCTCTACTGAGACCCTGTCAGTGCCGTCTTGCTTCCTCTTTCCCACTGGCCAGACCATCAGGCAGCATGTGGTGAGCAGTCACCTTCTGCAGTCCTGGTGCCAGGCCCTAGAGAGTCACTGCTGAAGCTGCTGGACTCTGTCCTTGCACTCACAGGGCTCAGAGGAATGAGGACAGACAGGCTGATATGTAGACGGCAGACAGATCAGTTACAGTCTGGTGAGACTGATCATGTTGGGAGAAAGAACAAGGCAGTGAGGTTCAGTAACAGGACGACAATCATGCAACCTAGGTCCTGGCTGTGAGGGCGTCCTTCTCTGGGATGGGCTGACCCAAGGTATCAGTCCAGAGACCGTGGACAGTGGGGCGTCCTTGACCAGAAAGAGCTTGGGCTGTTCTGAGAAGGGGCCGCAGTCAGGCAAAGCTGTGTCCTGGGCACACAGGATCTGGAGCACCGTGCAGATAGTTTGGATTGTATCTTGGAGTCAGTGGGACAAACAAATTTATGTTTTAAAAAGGCTACCCCTTTGTGAAAACGTCATGCCAGCAGGCTCTACTGATAATCAGCTCCATCAGAAATAAAATTCCAACATTCACCTGGCCCATGGATGGCATGTAGATCAGTATTTTAAGTCATTCACACAAACTTGTAATGCCAACTGCACTTACAGTTGACTGGGATGAGACAGGACAGCTGTTGGTTTTTTCTTGATCTTGGGAAGTAGGTGACTATGTTCAGAGTGGCTGAGGAACAGCAGAGAAAGCGCAGGATTTTTAAATAGCTCAGTTTCTGTGTGTGATTTGGGGTGGAGGGGAGTGTGGTTAAGTGGTGGTTTCAATTTAGGAGGGTGACTGGTGTTTCCTGGGGCTGGCGAGTTTAGCTCCAGCCTGACCACTGACAGCTTTCAGTGTCAGATGGTGCAACGTGGATCTGCTCTAAGGGTGGCAACTGCTGGAGGAAGGGAGCAGGCAAGCTCAGACCATGTCCTTCATAGGAAGAGTCCTCAGGAGGTGGAGAGAGGAGCAGACTTGAACAAGGTGTGGGGCCTGGATTGGAGCTGCAGGAAGCAGGCTGATGTGATGATAAGACAATTGAGTCTTGTGATGGATGGGGGACATTGTCCAGAGGGGCTCAGTGGGACATCATGGGGTGGAGTGGATGATCGTCAGGGAAATGGGAGAGTGGGAACAGAAGGCTGTTCCACTCTTTTCCTGGCACCTGGAGGGGTCAGTGGGGCTGTCACTGGCAGGATGACCCCAGTGGGGAGGGTGGCATGAGGAGGTTCTGAGGAGACTGGTCACTGTTTCTCACAAGAAAGTCTGGCCCTGCTGGGACCCTGGAGTTTCTTTCCCCAAACAGTTCCCTTCACTGACTTCCTGTTTGGATCAGTCAGCACCAGCCTCACCTTCATCATACCCCTTGAAACCTCTGGGTCAGTTCTGGCTCCTCAGGGCCCCTCCTCCCCTGAGCAGAGCTCTTCCTCTCACACTGGGAACTCCCTCTGCAGCATTAGGTAAGAGCCTCTGTGGAGGGCAGCCAGGCTTCTAAATGAAAAGGGACAGAGTCAGGGATCTGTGAGGCAGTTTATGTTCCTGAACTAGGAGCAAAATGGCAATGATAACAGTGAAGAAACACCATACTGAGAGAAATAGATAGCTATGTCATAAATTTCTTGAAAGCCATACATTTACCTGCCCAAGGAATTCAGCTATGAATCATTGAAAACCAAGCCCACACACATCATGAGCCTCATCAAACTAGTGAAGGAAAATCAAATCTACCCAGACAGAAATGGCACATCACACATGGAGGAACCAGGATGGAGTGACTGCAGATTTCCCATCAGAAACCATCATGGTCAGAAGAGTTTAAAGTCCTGATAGGTGAGAAAATTTCAACTGAAATTCTTCTGGAAATATTCTTCAGGAAAGGAAGTGAAATAAAGAAAACCTGAGCATCTGAACTGCTTAAAACAGACAAGTTCTTCAGGAAGACAGGAGATAATTCAGAAAAAACACTTGGAAATTCAAGAGTTAAAGAAGAACACACATGTCTAAGTAAATATCTAAGTAAATGTAATAGCCTATTTTAATCCTCTCAACTTTAAAAAAACAGGCATGGCTTTGAAAGCAGAAATGGGCACATCATCTGGTGGGATGTGTGATGTGTGGATGGACTAGAGATTCCAATGGCAGCGCAAGGCAGTGGGTGTAGAGGGAACTGCACAGTTGTGAGGCTTCTGCATTGACCTTGCAGAGGTTAAGTATTACCTCCTCTGTGTAGAATCTGTAAAATTAGGTTGTATATTATAATACAACCGTCACTGATAAAAGCAATGTACAAAGACTTACAGTTACAATTCCAGTGGATAAAGTAGAATGGATACTAAAAAACCATCTGAAAACACAAAGAGCAGTAAAAGGAAACTTGAAGAGAAAGCAGCAGATGTGACATGCAGATGCAAACAATAAAACGGGAAACCTAAAACAAACTTGTTTATGATTACATTAAATGTAAATGGTGAAAGCACAAGGAAATGGCAGATTTTAGTACTGGATTAAAATACTGTTTTTTTTTACTCTAACATATATTATATATTATATATATATATTATAATATATATAATATATATAGTATATATGTATATTATATATATTATATATATTATATATATTATATATATTTAGTGCATGGGTTTATTTCTTTTTGGTTAAATATATTTTATTGATTATGCTCTTACAACTGTCCCATTTCCCCCTTTTATTCCCCTCTGCCCTGCACACCCCCTTCACCCACATTATCCCTCTTCAGTTTATATTCATGGTTTGTACATGTAAGTTCCTTGGCTTCTACATTTCCTGTACTATTCTTAACCTCCCCCTGTTTTGTACCTACCATCTATGCCACTTATTCTCTGTACTTTTTCTCCCTCTTTCCCCCTCCTAGTTCTCCGCTGATAACCCTGCATGTAATCTCCATTTCTGTCATTCTGTCATTTTCTTGAATAAGTTCCTTTAACATTTCATATAGTAAGGGCTGCATGATGATGAACTCCTTTAACTTGACCTTATCTGGGAAGCACTTTATCTGCCCTTCCATTCTAAATGATAGCTTTACTGGACAGAGTAATCTTGGGTATAGGTCCTTACCTTTCATGACATGGGATACTTCTTTCCAGCCCCTTCTTACCTGCAAGGTCTCTTTTGAGAAAGCGGCTGCTAGTCTAATGGGAACTCATTTGTAGGTAACAGTCTCCTTTTCTCTTGCTGCTTTGAAGATTGTATCCTTATCTTTAATCTTGGCTAAGGTAATTATGATGTGCCTTGGTGTTTTCTCCTTGGGTCCAACTTCTTTGGGACTCTCTGAGCTTCCTGGACTTCCTGGAGGTCTATTTCCTTTGCCAGATTGGGGAAATTCTCCATTATTACTCAAATAAGTTTTCAATTTCTTGCACTTCCTCTTCTCCTTCTAGCACGCCTATGGTTTGGATGTTGGAACGTTTAAAGAAGTCCTGGTGGTTCCTAAGTCTCTCCTCATTTTTTTTTTTGAATTCCTGTTTCTTTATCCTGTTTTGGTTGAATGTTTCTTCCTTCTGCTCCAAATTGTTGAATTGAGTTGTAGCTTTTTTCCCATCACTCTTGGTTCCCTGTAAATTTTCCTTTATTTCACTTTTCATAGCCTTAATTCCTCTAATTTGTGACCATATTCAACCAATTCTGTGAGCATCCTGATGACCAGTGTTTTGAACTGTGCATCTGATGGGTTGACTATCTCTTCATCACTTGTATTTTTTTCTGGAGCTTTGATGTGTTCTTTTATTTGGGCCATTTGTGTGTGTGTGTGTGTGTGTGTGTGTGTGTGTGTGTGTGTGTGTGTGTGTTGTAGTGCCTGTTATGTAGTAAGGGGCAGAGTCTTAGGTGTTCACCAGGGCAGGGCAACCCATGTCTTTGCATTGTGATGCTGTATGTGGGGGAAGAGGTCTGAGAGGGAACAGTGCCACTTGCTCTG